TCTCTGCATGAAACATGAATTTCTGGGATTTCTACTTCATCACTGCCTGATTTGAGCTTGCAGGCACCCTCTAAATTGAATACTGAGGCATTGTGCTTAATATATCTGCTGCTCACAAAACAGGATTTGGGTGGGAAATAAAGACATCACAGAATTCCTTGTGTTTTTCCCACCACACCAGCCATCAACCCGCTGAGCAAGGCACTGCACACCTAGCGTTTGATCTTTGGCGTCCTATATGGTCCCTTGAGCACTGCCAGGAGTAATTTCTGAGCACAGAGCCAGGAGCATTTCCTTGAGCATTGTCAGGTGTGTCCCAAGACAAAACCAAAAAAGAAAAGGATTTCCTAGCAAGGAAACTTTGACGCCATTATCACTGGCCATGTAAGTTCAGAGAGACCTGGTATATGAGGACTTCATTGAAAGTCTTTGGACTGCTCTTCTCTCTCCAACAGAGACAGGAGTGAAGAGGAGCTTGTCCTTGTTCTAGGAGGGCTGTCGGTGCTCTGTAGGTGAGTGGAGGGTTTATTCCCTGGCAGGACAACTTGCCAAGGTAGACACCAGCTCTCTGCTTTCTCTATCAGTTTATCTGTCCACCTATTCTGCCTTTCACACTCTGAGGAAAGGAGCAAGAGCCTTTGGTGAGTCTGATTCTATGACAATGGCACTGAACTCTGCTCAGAACCAATATGGTCTCATCAGGAGCATTGGACCACATGACCTGCTTTAGAACTCAGGACAAAATTGGCTGAGGGGCTTTGGATGCTGGAAGATTTGGGATAGAGTGATAGTAGAATAGTAGTAGTAGTAGAGTGATTAGGTATTTACTTTGCCCACGGCTACCCAGGTTTGATCTTTGGCATCCTATATGGTCCCTTGAGCACTGCCAGGAGTAATTTCTGAGTACAGAGCCAGGATCATTTCCTTGAGCATTGTCAGGTGTGTCCCAAGACAAAACCAAAAAAGGAAAAAGATTTCCTAGCAAGTTTATCTAGAAGGTGAATCTATGAAAAATCCTACATGTTCGTGGTTTGAAGAAAATCACCAGATGTAGGATGGTCCTAGAGAAAAATGGCTGTGTCCTTCTCTCAGGTCTTGCTGGAAATCTCTGGCTGTGGACTCAGTTTTTCCCTGGGTGTCTGTTAGCCTAGTTTATGTTAGAGTGTGTCAAGCAAGTAAAATGGGTGCTTGCATAAGCTGCCGAGGGATCCCAGAGAAAGGTGGGGATGGGTTGGGTTGGGGTACCTCCTCTCAGGTTGGAGCAGAAGATGGAAGAAGAGATATTTACACTGAGTTTCAGAGCAATAGGAGTTTGCGGATTAGAAAAGAAAAGAAAAATTTAAGATAACAACATGTGCAAAATCTTGTTTAAAAGCTATTAAGAGATTCAACTTGCTTGTCATCTAGGGAAGAATGGAACAAGAAAACCCTGGGAGCTGAGGGGCTAGAAGGCATACGGGCTAAGAAGCAAGAAGCACTGTCTTTACAGTTCCCAAGATCCTGGAAGAGAGGGATCATTTTCTTTCATCTTCAAACTTCTTTGTTTTGTCTTCCCTTTCGTTACTTTGATCACTAAATCAGAAACTCTTTTGAGAAAAAAAAAAACTGAACTAAAAACATGCACCAAACACTCAGACAACACAGAAACCAGGGGATGTCACTCTTCTAGGAGGAAAGGAAAGGGACATGCCCAGGCAAGAGCCCAGCTCTAGATAGGCAGGGTAGAAGTTGAGTGCTGATCAGAGAGGTTGGGGTTCCCTGGAGAGTCCAGCCCAGCCTCTTTTGGTGCTCGATTCTTCTTGCTGGGGAGAAAGGAATCTCAGCACAAATATTTGTCATGAAAGGGAAATCTTGGCTGGCCTTAGACATCACAGAGCTAAGAGATATGATTTATCACTGAAGATGTTTTCCAGGCATGGTCAGAATGTGAGTAAATGTTTTTCAGGCTGCCCGGGAAGGTTCCGCTCATGCATCAGAGGCTTCGCATGGACAGCGTTTGAGACAGCAGCATGGCCTGGACATGGTCTGGTGCCTCCGTAGCAACTCTTGCAGGGCCACCTGCCTTGCTCTGCCAGGGGGATGGTGGCAAGGGAGATGGGGGAATGAAGAGAAAGTAGCTTGGAGATAGGACAGACCTGGGATGAGCTCCAACCTCTGGTTGGAGATCATAGCTCATAGCACAGGCTTTGCATGCAGGAGACCACTGTTCCATCCCCGGCACTGCATAGTCCCAGAGAACTTCTGGGAGATCACAGAGCTGGAGGAGTCCCCAAACATTGATAGGTGTGGGCTCCCTGAACCTCAGAACCCTGGGGGACTTGCCTAGCTTTTTTGAGCCTGTTTCCTCATTCATAGAGTTCACCCATACATTTTTTGAATGGGGCAATTTTGCCCCCTATGAGACACTTAGCAATGTCTGATGACTGTTTTCAATGTCATAACTGAAGGGAGGGTTCAACTCGCAACTGGTGGGGAAAGGTCAGAGAGAAATTTCTACGTACCCTACTGGCCGACCCTCATGGAGCTGATAAAACCCCAATTGAGAGTGGGGCTGAGGGGAGGAGACCTGTGGACACTTGGTATTGATCTCCTGGGTATGAGAAGGTAAATGGGCTCTAATTACAGTGGAACAGTTCAAGGAAATGGAAGCCCCTTTCCCCAAAGGGTCAGGAGCCCACCATTAGCGTGGTTGTGTAGGTGCCTCCTTTCAACTGGGATGAGAGTGAGCTAACCATACCCACTTCTCTTTCTCCATCCTTCCTAGCTCTAGAAACTCCTGCTCCACAAAGAGAGGATAGGAAACAAATAGTAGTCAAGGGAATGAAAGCTCCCAGTCCTTCTAGAACTTTCATTCTAGCCAGTTTCTCTTTTCTTTTCTTTTCTTTTCTTTTCTTTTCTTTTCTTTTCTTTTCGTTTCCTTTATCTTTTCTCTTTTCTTTTCTCTTTCTTTCCTTCCTTTTCCTTTTCTTTTTAATTGAATCACTGTGAGATATAGTTACAAAGGATTCATGTTTGAATTTCAATCATACAATGATCAAACATCCATCTCTCCACCAGTGCACATTCTCCACCACCAATGTTCCCAGTATTACCACTCCCCCCAGCCCCACACCACCCCTCCCCTTTCCAGCCCTCTCCCTGCCTCTATGGCAGACAATTTTCCCCATATCCTCAATTTTTGGGCATTATGGTTTGCAATATAGATACTGAGAGGCTATCATATTTGGTCCTTTATCTACTTTCAGCACATCTCCCATCCCAAACGATTCCTCCAAGCATCATTGAATTAATGATCTCTTCTCTATTCCAGCTGCCTTCTCATCTAACTCACGAGACAGGCTTCCAACTATGGGGCAATATTCCTGGCCCTAGTGTCTACTGTTCTTGGGTGTCATATATTCCACAAATGAGTGCAGTCACTCTATGTCTTCCCCTCTCTTTCATTTCATTTAGCATGATACTTTGCGTGACCATCCACTTATAAGTAAATTTCATAACTTCATCTTTCCTAACAGTTGCATAGTATTCCATTGTGTAGATGTACCAAAGTTTCTTTTAACCAGTCATCTGTTCTTGAGATTCTTAAGCACTCAGGTTTTTTCCAGATTCTGGCTATTGCGAATAGTTCTAGCCAGTTTCTTGCCATGAACTTCTCATGAGCTGATAGTAAAAAATGTTCATATAGAAAGAACACAGCCCAGTGGAGGTGTGAGCTGTGTGCATCACTGTGAGAGAGGAAGGCAGCCTCCCAAATAAGGGGGGCAATTGAGTGACAGGGAGGAAGTGGCAGGCTGATGGAGTGTTGGAAGAATCAGCATTCTCCTGGAAGATGGACTCCTCTCCTCATTCCAAGGCTGCTGACAGCTCTTCTCAAGTGACCCAGCTGATGTGGAATGGAATGAGAGTGGCGAGCCCGGCTTCTGGACCCACTCCGTTCCATGTAGGGCCAGGTACAGGGCTCAAGGAGATGAGCTCTCCCTGCTGGTCCACTTGGGCTGGCCACCAAGGTGTTTGACAAGGTAGAGTGGCGGGGTTTAGTTGATGGGGGGTCTTTGTCTTCAGGTCTTGCTTCACAGGCAACCTGACTAGAGTTCTTTCAGAGTAAGCTGTAGGACTCCTTGGAGGCCTGATGGGCCTATCCATGCCCCATCCCCAACCCCTGGCAGCCAGCTTGGGGCTGCCTGCCACAGCAGCGGCCAGGCCAGCTTCCAAGTGCAGGAGGAAAGTGTCTACATGTGGGCCTTTGCCAGGGCTGGCAAGGGTGTGGCAACATCTTCGGCTCAGGAAGCTCCACCTCCGGGCTACTTTCTTCACAGGTTCCCAGGGCCTCCCCCAAGCAGCCTTGGGGCTCGAGGAAGGCTCTAGCACCAATAGGAACTAGGCGGGGCTTGCAGGGGAGGGGGCTGGGGAGAGACTTAGCTGGCCCAGCTCTCCAGCGCCAGCTCATGCACATTTGTTTTCACTTAACATATCTTGGCTGACTGTCTCTGGCATGGCCAAAATTGGATTACACCTCAGTGTGGACAACAGAGACTTCAAATTTAAAAAGGCCACTAGGGAAAGAGATGGACATTTCTTAAAGATCAAGGGATCAATACAAGCAGGAAGAACTCATCTTGCTAAATATATACTCATCTTGTGATGGTTCATTAAAATATGTAAAACAACTGTGAATAGACTTAAAGATATTGACAGTCACACAACAGTAGTAGGAGACAAGAAAATTTTATTTTATTATTTTTTTTGTGTACCATGGGCTGGAGCGATAGCACAGCGAGTGGGGCGTTTGCCTTGCATGCAGCCAACATGGCCGACCCAAGTTCGATTCCTCCGCCCCTCTCGGAGAGCCCGGCAAGCTACCGAGAGTATCTCGCCCGCACGGCAGAGCCTGGCAAGCTCCCCGTGATGTATTCGATATGCCAAAACACAGTAACAAGTCTCACAATGTTACTGGGCCCTCTCGAGCAAATTGATGAACAATGGGAGGACAGTGACAGTGACAGTGGTGTACCATACCTGGTGGTACCGCAGTATACCAGATCAATACATGGAGTGAATGGAGCAAGATCTTATTTCAACTTCTAGATCCAGAAATTCATTTATGTCCTCAGATAGAGAACATATCAAATATTAAACTGATAAGAAGAGATACTACCCTTGATCTTAGGCAAAAATTGAGAAGTGATTAGTAGTAGGAGACTTTAAGACTTTATGAGTTTCAAAGAAATGTGTGTGTGGCACACAGAAGCCATGCTTTGAGTGACTGAGAGCTGCATCCCTTGGTTGGTCAATGGTGACAGACGAAAGACTGGGGGACAGAGAAACAGGACCTGGGCCCCAGGCTGGTTGGTAGTCAGTTTATTTCTCTCTCTTCCCCAGTGTAGTTCAATCTCTCCCCTAACAGCCAAATCATAGTCATAGTTTTGGTTATAGTCCCAGTCATCATAGTTCTATCATCCTAGTCCCTGCCATAGTCTGTGTTGCTAGGGACAGTGAGGTGTGTGATCTTCCCACAGAGTCTCATCCTCTCCCTTCTGCACTGTGAGGAGGTGCTCTTCCTCAGGGCATGAAGAGGGACTGAGCCTGACATCTCAGTTCTGCCCAGATGGGACAGCAGAACAGAGCTGGAGACACAGCGTAGAAGGGACTAGGTCTTGCTGGCAGAAATAGTTGTCTTCCAAGGAACAGGACAGTAAAGGACAAGGGACCCCACCCCTCTGCCCTTTGAGATGAGCAGTGCCTTTTCCGTGGAAACTTGGACACTGCTCACAGCCAGCTCCACCTCCCCTGCCAGCCTCTAGACTGGCCAAAGAGGACAGTTAGCCTGGGGCATGTCTCTGCCTGTCAGGGCCTTCTCCTAGCTAGGGGTATCAGTGATGCTTGCTGAGAAGTGACCTGGTGACAGGTAGGGGTCTGGAGGGTTTCGGGGAGGCTCTTCCTATTAGTGATTTGCATTTTTAAATTTCTCTCTTTGATAGGACAGCTTCACAGTTGAGCTTTCTTTTTTGTTTTTTTCAGATTCTTTTTCTATTTTCTATTTTAATTGAATCACTATGAATCACAAAGTTACAAAGATATTTATGATTGAAGTTCAGGTATGCAATGTTCCAACACCAATCCCTTCATCCATATCCTCTACCCTTTGCCAATGTCCCCAGTTTCCCTATCAGTTCCCAGCCTGACAGGCACTTTTCCCCTGCCCCATTCTCCTTTGTTCCCTTTTCTAACTGATCAAGCCATCACCCCTGCAATTGGAGTTTCTTCAGCAGATCTTTCCTTATTCATGCTAATTCCTGGAGGGATCCCAGCATCAACCTGGAAGTGGATTAGACTGAGGTCTCTGGGACAGTGAGATAAGGACAGTGAGGGCTGGAGATGGGCAGTGAGAGCCGGTGACTTGGGGGTGTGAGACCTTGGGTTCTATCCCAGCACTGAGCACTGCTACATGTGGTCCCTACCACAACCTAAAAGACAAAACATGGAATGAGCAGCTTGTAGTTCAGCTAGCATCCCCTGTGTCAGGAAATTATCTTACTGGTATGAATAAAATATAAAAATGATATGTGTGCTTATAAAATATAGGCTGGTGCTCTCTTTCCATTTAAATTAGTACTTTCAATAAAGTCTGAGTGCTGGTCTAAAGAACTGAGCTGTCCGTGGTGGAGGAAGGTGGTGTTTGCTTGGGGAATAGATTGGGAGGGGGTGAACTCTCTGGTGTATAGGAACATTGACAAAATTTTATTATTAACAGTATTGTAAATCATGGTGCCTAAAATCACGGTCACAGTTCTCCCATTGTTCATCAATTTGCTTGAGCGGGCCCAATAACATTGTGAGACTTGTTACTGTGTTTGGCATATTGAATACATCATGGGGAGCTTGCCAGGCATTGCCGTTTGGGCGAGATACTCCGGTAGCTTGCTGGGCTCTCTGAGAGGGGCGGAGGAATCGAACTCAGATTGCCATGTTGGCTGCATGCAAGGCAAATTCCCTACTCTCTGTGCTATCGCTCCAGCCTGTGACTAAAATAAAAAATTAAAAATATTACATTAGTCTTTTAAACTCAACAACCATGGGGAATGTGATCTTACTTATTAGAGATGTGAGAAAATTAATCCCCAAATATCACCATTAATTCATCAGTCAGGTGTGACCCCTGAGCCAACACCTTCACCTCTGGGCTGTAGCACTGTCGTCCTGTTGTTCATAGATTTGCTCCAGTGGGTCCAGTAACATCTCCATTGTGAGACTTGTTACTGTGTTTGGCATATCACGAGTAGCTTTCCAGGCTTTGCTGTCTGGGCGAGATACTTTTAGTAGCTAGTGAGGCTCTCCGAGAGGGGCAAAGAAATCGAACCAGGGTCACCTGGGTCAGCCACATGCAAACGCCCTACCTGCTGTGCTATGGTTCCAATAACTACAATAAAATACGGGTCAGGCATAGAGTGAGGAGGGGCGGTGATGCCAGTGTCTCCCATCTGGAGCTTCATAAGAACTATGTAACTTGCGTGAGTCATGCAAGAGAGTACTTTGGTGGAACTGGCATGCCGACGACTTTGAGCCTCATCACAAAGGAGACCTGTGGCAGGGCAGATAGCTCTACGTGTGTGAAATCCCAGTGTCACTCAGGGAGCTGTTCTTTAATCTGCATTTGAGGGGGGCACACCTGGAAATGCTCAGTGACTATTTCTGACTCTCTGCTCAGAACTGTTTGTGGTTCTGGGGATCAAATGGATTGACTGAGTGTAAGACAAGTGCCTAATTGGCTGTACTATCTCTGACCCCTCCACTCTTTCTCACCTTTAGGACTATAAAACCCAGCTCCCGGAAGAGAACAGCGCAGAGTCTCCTGCCCCTACGCCTGGCTGTCCTCGCTGGGGCCCTTTGGAGGGGAGCGGGTTCAGTTTTCCTCCCCACCCCGACCAGGGCTCCAGCAGCCGAAAACCTCCAGAACCAGCCACCGCCATGCTGAGACCACTCTCCCCACGCATGAAGGTACAGGCAGAGGAACAAAAGCATGCAGGTCCCGGGGCTGAGATCTCCAAGCCTGCTTGGATCGGGGCTGAGCATCCTCCACCCAGATCCTCCATATTCCAGTAGGCAGGGGTCACACCCACCAACTGGCCCCCTGGCGCCGTGTAATCCCATCAACGGCCAAGACCCAGAGACTATAAAACCCAGCTCCTGGAAGCACACGGTCGCATTTGCGGCCACGCGACATCTTATTATCTCATTCTTACTTTGGACAAATTGGCAGGGTACCAAATGTAACCTGCCCACACAGCAGAGTCTGGCAAACTCCCTGTGGAGTATCCAATATGCCAAATACCAGTGACAATGATGGGTCTCATTCTCCCTAACCCTGAAAGAGCCTTGAATATAGAACTTTTTAAAAAAAATTCTCAGGGCTAGGATGAAGGAGATGTTACTGGGGCCTGCTCGAGGCAATCGACGAACAACAGGATGGTCGTGATCGTGGTCGTGATCGTGATCTCTGACCCCTCCACTCCTTCTTACCTTTCACGGAGGGTTGGTCTTGGCTGAATAATGGCTCTGAGGAGAGGTTTTCTAGAGTGTCAAGATCTAATGTCCTCTCTGAACTACAACCTTGCACATTGGGTGATTTGTCTTTGAAACCCCCTGAAAAGGGTTTTGAAGATACATCACACATCACCATTACCTGCTCCAAGCCTCCAAGCTCTGCTGTCCACCCTAACATGCCCATGCAGAAAAGAGTGCCCAGACCCTTCTGTGGTCAGGAAATTATCTGCATTTGAGGGGGGCACTTCTGTGGTGGTGATCAGCTAATCTCATGATCCCATCACTCTGCACAGTCCACACCTGTGAGCACTCCTCCCCCAGCAAACGAGTGAGTGTGTGAGAGTGCATGACTGCAGGGATGAACGAGGGCGTCTGCATCAGCTTTTTCCCTCTAGTCAGTACCCAACCTGACCAGCAGCATGCCTTCAGCCACCTGCAGGTTCAGCCTCTGGAAAGGTGGGGTAAAGAAGGAAGGTAGGGTAGTTCCTTTACCTGAAGTCTTTGTTTCCTTTTAGGAAGGTGAAAATTTGCATCTTGATTTATGGTTCACAAACCACACTAGCAGGTACCATCTCATTTCCCTTCATAAAGGAGAAAGCAGGTGAGATAAGATCTACAAGCACCAGACACATAGCCTTTGTGAGGTTTCTGTTCTTCTCAGTTTATGACACCCATAGGTGCGAGAGAGAGTCCAGAGCCAACAACCAGTCAAGTCCTGCAGCCCGTTTGACTGCTAATGTTCTGTCCTGCTTCAGCTTCCTCTTCTGTCAGAGACTAGAAAACTTGTGGGTTTCTGGAGCCTGGGGAGAAGAGGAGTAGAAGTTGGCTTGAAACACCGGGGGCCAGGTGTTTAGTACAATATCATGTAGTATTCAACACCATTCTGTGAAGAAAGGCTACTTTCATTTATTTATTTTATTTTATTTTTATAAAGTAGTTCACAATATTTGATTATATTTAATATTTGAACACCATTCTCACCACCATTACACCTTTCCACCACCGTATTTTGGATGTTTGGGTCCTGAGCTCCAACCCCTGCCCCAAAGCAGAATCAAAACAATTTATTTTGTATTGTTTGTTATAGTGGGTAGGCCATTTGCTTTGCACGAGGCCGATCTGGGTTCAATTCCTCCGCCCCTCTCAGAGAGCCCAGCAAGCTACTGAGAGAGTATCTCTCCTGCATGGCAAAGCCTGGCAAGCTACCTGTAACTTATTTGATATGCCAAAAACAGTATGCCAAGAAGTCTCACAATGGAGATGTTACTGGTGCCCGCTCGAGAAAATTGATGCACAATGAATGAGAGGACAGTGACAGTGACAATTGCTTTTTATGAATAAATCTCTTAAAATCCTCCAAAAAAGTTTCCTTAGAGAAAGTGTGTGAAGATGGTTGCATTTCACCCAGGGGCCATTAAGCCCTTCTGTAAGAGATTATTAACTTGCTGTTAAAGGTTGAGCCTTGTATTCTTATCTATCTATCTATCTATCTATCTATCTATCTATCTATCTCTCTATCTCATTAAAATGTATTTCTTTCTAAGATTGGTTACCTTCTACTTTAAACCCCATCAAATATGGTGCACTACTCTTGGAATGTGAGTAGTGTGAAGTATAAAATTTTGGTCCAGAAATAGGTTCACTC